AATCCAACGAAAAATAATAGGGAAAAACAAAATGAAATTAGAAAAGGAGAGAAACTATATATATATATGTATATCTGTGAGAAAACGATACACAAGCGCATGCCATGCGATCGTAAACTAACATCTAAGAACCCAGGCAAGTGAGCTGAACGTTAAGGGATCGAGGTTCGACGACCCTGTCGCATTCGTTGAACGATGAGTCGCGATCGATACTGGTTGGACAGTAAGGGGCCATTTGTATTTCAGACGCGACAGAGTCTTCTTGTGTACCTCGAGCGCCTAGGTGCCCCCCGATAGGTGTGTGTCTTGTACGGGAGCACCTCCCTCTCTCTTCTGCCTCTTTAATTCACTTTTTTTTCTCTTTTTCGTGTATTTTTCCCGTCTCTCCGTGCTTCTTGCTCGAACGAATATACAAATCGGCAAATGATCGTAGGCGACGTCCGTAAACGACAGTCGTGACGTGGATGACGATAATACTAATGGTAATGACGATACACACTGTATACAAAATAGGTGTGACCAAATAAACTAACTGATGACGATATCAATAATATTATGTAGCGACGTTGCTAATAATAATAATAATAGTAATTATAGTAAATCTATGTACGCAGTGATACTAGAATAATAATAATAAGAATAATGTTTAATGTAATAGTAAATAACGCTAACAGCAACGGTAAAAGTACTGATGAATAATATTAATAATAATAATTATCGTAATCATAACACACATCATGCGCACTAAAACACGTATGGTCCAAGAGCTAATCAAGCAGGACTAATCCGATGTGACTCGGTTAAAAAAAAAAAAAGTTGATTAATCTTCCCAGAGAGAAACAATTGAAGAGAAAAAAAAACAATTAAAAAAAAAAAAACAATAGGTAAAACAATGAAAAATTATTAACCATACACAAGAGGAGAGAAAAAATCGTATTATGTATGCAATCGGCTGAAAATGAACCCAGCTAAGAAAACTAATTTTCAGGCGCAATCTAAAAGTAAATTATGGTTAAAAAAAATAAGGGTGCTTTTCCCGTTTCGTGCGGATGCTCTCAGGTCTCGTTTCTTTATTTTATCTCTTTGTTTTTGTTTGTTTTTTCTTTTTTATTTTGTGTGTGTTTCTTGCTACGCGAAGGATTCGTGTACCCGCGACGACGACGACGACAATCACACTTCTCTACATATCGTCGTGTGACACGTTCCGTCGTCGCTGATTTTCTGTGTGGTGTGGGGGGGCGGTGATATGGGGTGGCGGTTTCGCGTTAAGAACCCGCGAAGCGTGATTTAAGTATCTGCGAAGTGTATCGTTCTTTGGCTGCAAAACGTTGTAGCGCGCGGACCACAGACGCGTCCGCGTGAAAAATGGAAAGAAAAACCGCCTCCTCCTACTCCTCGAGATAAACGAAAAATTGGTGATAAAAAGAAATCCCACGGAGAAAAAAAAGTAGTTGGCCGTACAACACAGGCTACTATCCCACGCAAGAGCGGTGGTTCAGGCTCGGACGAAAACGGATTTTTCGCGGACGATTCACGAATGTTTCTTTTTTTTTTTTTTCATATTTGGAACTTTTCTTCGACGGACGTGTGTGCATCTGTAGAGAAATGGTAACGAGTTGCGTCGATATTTCTACGTATCTGTATATATGTATGTATATGACGAAGAAACTCTTCTTCTCCCTCTGTTTCTCTAACCATAAAAATCGTTGCCTCCCTTCTTCTCCCCTTGTTACGTTGTTTCGAATCGTTCGTTGCAAATCGGACCGCGAGGATCGCGAGAAAATTTCCCCTCGAAAAATATTTGTACTCTACACCTAAGTGGCGCGGGAAACAAGAAAATACCCCTGGCGAACCCGTTTTCGGGGGTGTCGCTTCTCTTCACGTTCTTCGATACAATCGGATAACACAGGTTTTAGCCTTTCGAAAGTTCGCTGCTCTATTCCTACCTCCCTCTCTTTTCCCTTAGACGATCGAGAAATCGTACACGTTCCGACCCTATGAACACACTTTTCGCCGACAACCCTTTTACGCGCCTCTCTTCCACTCCTCACCGTACAGTATTATACCTCACACGCGTACTCTAACACTAAGCATTTGGCAATTTAAGGCAGTAAGTCTCACAGGCCCACGAAGCCTCTCACTGTACGCTAAAACGGGATCACGATACGCGGCACAGATGCATCCGATCCTATCGATAAAACTACAGTGTCACACGTGTTCCTTATCATCTCCAACGAAGAACAAAACAAAGAAGGAAATTTCATCGAACGAACTGTTCTCGTTGAACTGGAAGCACTCGTTACACGTTTCACGTGTCGATTCGTCCGCGGTTATTTCGGGGAAGGTTTTATTTTCTTTTGATTCGTCGTCTGTCTCGTTTCACGAAATTTCTTTGGAACACACGATTTTAGAAATTCACGAACTATTTCTTTTTCTTTCTCGTTTATCGTAGCCTCAGCTCGGTCATCTGGTAGCGCACGCGAATCCTCGAAAGAATCACCAAAGCGTAGCCCATAGCGTGATACAAAAACGTACCAGTACGTTCGCTAAAAACGGCCCGTGCAATTACCACACCGTGGAAAATACGCCCATCGCCTTCTCCACGGTGGATATCGCGGTCGTCCTCGTTCTCTCCTCTTTTCACCGTTTCTCACTATAGCGAACGTCATCATCGAACCCCACTTATCCGCTAAACATGTCTACCTCGGAATGTTGTGCACCGGTCTAAAGTGACTCACTTTACAATAATCGTTAACCATATATGTATACGTGTGTGTAGTGTAGTGTGTGTGTTTGTCGCGACGTAACGACGAATTCGTCGGTTAATTTGCAAACGCGGGCAGAAAATCGTCACCCG